TACTTGAGCGAAACATTAGCAGCTTGGCACATTTAGGGTGTAAATAACTACAATTTGCAAGTTCGACGCAACTTTGATCAATATGCCGATCTAGCGTCCGATCGTACTGATGGAATGTATCAGCCGTTCTTGACTGCTTTCACAGTCGGATCTGAGTTCGATTACTCAAAAATTAGGGAAATTTCAGGTGAGCCACCTATGTAAATTTGCAAGCCTGGTTCATGCTTTCCATGCCCGTAATTATCATAAACTTCTCCATCACCTTTTCCTTTCGAATCCTCCTCGGTGTAAAATCCAGAAGCGCTATCGTTTATTTGGATCGATTTTTTTTACATAAGATTACCTAGCATACTCATACATAATGGCATTGGTAGTCTTATCTACATGTACTTTTATAATCTTGTTAAGGAGATTGTTCGAACTATAACAAATAGCGAAATTTCAAGGTTAAACTTAGATGCAGGTAATTTATGAATTTTTTTTCCAAATGCGAGAAAATCTTTTTCAATAAGTTACCTGGTGCCTGTGCCCACGTCAGTCCATCCAAAAAAAAAAACGATTCAATCGAGTGAATCATTATTTATAAGATGAAGATTTTTATTGATAGCTCAGCGCAGCGTCTAAAATTTTGAGTAATTACAAGTAACCGACCATTACAATCACCTTGGCTTTTCATTAGTGAAACAGCTCACCAACTGATGAGTTTATTCAAATAGTACACTTGTTCGACCTAGCACTTCGATGAAATATTTAAATGACCTGCGCAACATTCTAAAAGAATTCCTTGCTTGTCTTTGCTTAATATATCAGTATGCATTCTTTCAGTGATGAACTAAGAAGGAAACTGATAAAAAAAATTTTATCCGACTGACTTCTCTGTGCCTTTGCTTTCCTTGAACCCCTAACCGCGTATGAGCCCCATCAGTAAAGAAACAAATATTTTTACATCTAATCGAGGGCGTTAGACCCTCCTGAACTGAGAGCTAGTGGAAGAGCTAAGCTATCGTTACCAACGTTTAATAGAAATACTCTTTAGCAATTCTCAAAAAAAAAAATTCTTTCGAGCCCATCTAACCTCGGCCAATCGCAATCTCGTGTTGAAATCAGCATTCATTTAGCAATTGTAAAATCATTTATACAGCAGCAGATTAACCTCTGAAGACGGCGGCGTGCGCCTTTTTGAGGGTACTGGTATTTAGACTGCCTTCCCGCTTAGCAAAACTTTTTCATCAGATCGTCAATTGACAGCTCGAAACGGCGATTCTAACACAATGCTTCGTTTCTGAGAAGGTCTTGTTGGCGTCCTGTAGCAACAAATTTAAACGTCACGTTTCTCCTCTCAAACAGTTAGACCGTCCCATGCTCCTTTAGAGCAAATTTTTACTTCTCACAAGCAACTTATTGTACGTCCTGTTATAAACAACTGTCAGTACGTCCTAGAATGGTCAACTAATACTTGGTCATTCCCTGCAATAATTACAATATAATATTCCGACGTAAAGCATGCAATCTCTACAACGAATGTCTATGATGCTTACAATGCCATTTCTGATGAACGAAACTGAAGCATATAAAACAGTAGTTTTTCCTACATTTACTGGATCTCGTTCGAGTTTTTCTGACCTAACTTGAGCACAGTTAGAATTTCCGTCTGAAAATTTTTACAGCTGTCTAATCGACGTCTACAACTTGTGGACTAGAAGAAGTCTTCAGATAGAGCGAGTAGTTGCGCTAAAGAAGCTGAGTCTTCTGGATAGTAGCTGCTATATGCTTCTTGAATTCGGTGAAATGGATTTTCCGCCATTCGTCACTGTAGATCCTCAAGTAGTTCATCATCAGTATATGAGTGACCAAGTAGGAGAACAGGCGCATTAACCTAAACTATTAAAGCTCTTCTCTGTTATCGAAAGCAAGGATGAAACAGCTACTTTCACTGGACAAGAATTTTCATGAGAGTGTTCATAATTATTCAAAAAAGCTCAAATCTCGAGAAAATACTTGCTCGTTTTTTCAAAGGCCATTTATAGCGCTGGAGCATTCAAGATAAGATGTTTCAAACCCACGGCGCGCCTTCATTGTTGTCACGCTTATAGTTTGTTGGAAGTATGAAAAGCATATGAGCGTATGGAGGAAATCTTCGGATATCGGAGACATACGTTTTATCCGGAGTTTTTTTTTACAGCAAAAAACATATTCTAAATCCAATAACAAAGTCGCACTCCATATTTGAATCGTGCCTGCATGCTCCAACGATCCTTAAAAATCGATCCCCAGCCAACACACATTCAGCAGACAAGAAAAATATGCGAACGTAGTGAAAATCAATGATATTTTGTAGCAGGACAGCAGTGAAAGATTCTTTTTCCAAAAGATAAGCGCAGCACAAAGGTCCGAATATCTCTAAACCTCGGCATAATTCAAGGAATGCAAAATTTCTCACAAACTGTCCTTTTCTTTATTCAAAACTTGCACGGCCCCGTGCAAGTTCTAAATAAAGAAAAGGACAGTTCGTAGAGCGTAACGTTGAAATTATCGAAACATACGCTACCGAATGGTACGCATAATTAAGGGAAGAGCTCTGCCCTGTGAGAAATGGCATGTGTGGAACACAAAACTTTTTTTCTGCTACAGCACTATAAAAAAAACTTTTCTGGAAGGTGAACACATTTTTTATTCCTTCGAGACTGAAACTATCGACCGTTTATTATTAGTCTCCAAAAAAGCTTTGTCCAGCGAAGTATAAGCGTGGTAATTACAGAAGGGGAAGAGCGAGTGTGAAACATAATTAATCCAAATGGTACAGTGCTGTAAAATGGATTATCAAAAAACGAAACCCGTACAGTAGTCCCGAGATTCGCTAAATATGGTTTCATCGTCAGTAAACGGTAGAATGTAATAGAGAAGACCTCAGTAAGGCTAGGCATAACAGAAAGGCGTCGAGCAGCTTCCTCTGAATTCCGCATATGAAAGGAGAAACCAGTTGTGTACACCAAATCATGCTCAAAAATAGTTATTAGGCATATCGAAATTTGATCGTGGCCTCAAAAAAAAAAACACTCGGAACGACAAGTATTATTGAAAAATAATTGAATGCCAGCAGAAAAGTGATGTTATAGGAATTTAGCGCTTTGTTTCTATACATGAACATTATATGCATAAAAACATGGGAAGATATATAAAAAACATTGAAAGCGTACGAGAGACCCAGAAATTTATCATAGTGGAAGAAAATCTCAATCATATATCGATAATCGCGCGGCACTTGCAAAATGAGTCAGGTGCTGCAATCTTAATCAACTGTCGTTCTCAAAATCTCTCAGACTTATTTTCCGTTCACAGCGGGAAAAGTACTCAATTGGGTTCGCGAAACCATGAAATGGCTTTGAAGGCGCGCAGTTACTGCACTCACGAAGGATGTAGTGTTTGTGTTGGGCAAAATAAGTTGGATTTCTGATTTTCAATGCTTTGTCGACTTAAGTTCAAGAAACAATAATCAGATCACAGTGAAACAGAACAAGTCTCATCAAAGAACTTTCTGAGTGCATTAAAACAATTCAAAGCACGGAGGTAATTTTCTATTAAGCTTGCTTGTTCTGTCATTTGATGCAGTTTTTCTAGTACTTTGTTCTTCATTAGCAAATGCTATCTCTTGTAATGAAGCTCACCCTGTAATTTAGGCCAGTTCGATCTGCCGATCTTGGGCATTAACGAGCTTTTCGACTTTGATGGACATCTTATGTTGAAAGGTAGTTCCTAATTAAAATGGTGATTGTCGACGAGAGGTTTCCTGTATTAGAATTAGGTAATGGCAGCGGCACCCTAATGATTATGAACCCAGTTTTCAGGTCTTGGTAACGGTATTCTAAACAGCGCTATGGAGTTTCCGTTGACACTGTCCGATCCTGAAGAACGAGCTGTTTTCACGTTTAAGTATCTGAACTACCAGGCCGATCGACACATGCAATACGGCCATGTAATGCCGAACATTAATTTGTTCCTTGTCGGCAAGGACAAGATCATGGAGCGACTGTCGCGGAATAAGCTCAATCCGACCATGATTGGCTGATCTACAAGGACGAAAAGCAACAATAGACTCAACTTATTTTCTCTCTGTAAAAACAGTCACAGTCAGGCAGCATTCCCTTTTCATCTTGGAATTATATTCATTCGGATGTCCTTCAAAATTCTTTTTAAGTTCGGTCATCCGGTAGAAAACAAAAAGAAAACGATCCTTTCACTGGGCAAGTGCTTTTCTAGTAGTGTTAGCAATTGTTCGAAAGCACGAATTTCTGGCTCTTATTATTTTGCTTATATATCGCTAGACAAAATTCTTACATAGACTGCTAACAATCGTTGGATGGCCTAGATTTTGGAGAATTCAGAAATGTGTTTCCTTTATGAAAAACTTTCTTGGCAGCGCTGCAGCAAGAAGAAAAGTTTTATGTTTCACATATGCATATTTTTCTCAGGACCGAATTGTTCTCTAGAATTACGAGTATCCAAAAGGATACGTTTTGAAGATTCCATCGCTGTGCTTGTTTCTGGAAAGATCCGTTCTGCTCCATTGTAGCACGGAAAATAAGATTGAGTTTTACATACGGCGCGCAGTGTTTGTCAGCTAGTGTGTGTTATGGGTGTGGCCTGAGTGTGTGGTGGCCTAGGATTGAATGCGGCTATCAATCGATCGCGTTAGGGCGACTCACGTGTGGTGTGCAATTTTTGTTATCTTATTCGGGATTTTTCTCCGCTCTGGAAAAAAATTGAGATGTAGCGAAACAATTCATAATACAAAATTTCTTCAAGACTCTCTTATGCTTTTCGTGCTCCCAGCGAATTATAAGCGTGAGAAATATGAAAGCGCGCTACTGGTGTAAAAAATTTGGCTCCAAATGCTGCAGCGCTATGAAAAGGCTTTTTCAGAAAAAGTACGCTCAGCGCAGTAGCCCAAGACTTAGACTTGCCAATGATTCTTATCATTATTTACAAAGTGGTGCAAAAGGGGGTCAGTAGTGCAGTGGGTTAGAGCATGCGCTCTCGGATAGAATGAGATGCGTGTTCAAGTCCCGTCTGACACGAAAAAATTTACATATCACCCTACGCAACTGTGATTATTGACACTTACGAAACGTTCTTGCCCAGCGAAAGAAATCATTTCTTCAATCTTTGTCGGATAACCGATTCGGTCCAAATTGTTTTCCATTCTGTGTTGTAAAGTTTTAAATATTGCCAATTATTATTTGATTGCTCGCAAAGATTGTTGAAAGAAATACAACTAATTTTAGGTGTTGTGTTTATCTTTCAAGGGATTTTTCGTGTTTTTTGTTTTCAGTCTTTGTCCGGCAGGTATTGTAAAAACGATCCTTTCGCTCTACAAGAACTTTTGATTTTGATATGAGTGTTAGTAATCATTGGCCTAATCGAAAAGAGGTATTCCTGACTGTCGGATTGCGAAAAAAAGCGGAAGTTTATCTTTTCAGCAGGATCTCCCCTGTATGAAAGTCCGACATTTTCACACCAAAGCTCAACTAAGAGTGAACCATGCCAGATAAAGCCACCGTCTTTTATAAGTAGTCGCATAGTGGCAAAGCTCGCTTGTATCAACAGAGGCAGGCTGCGATCCCAAGGGTAACATTATCGCCAGAAATTCTGCTTGTTCCCTGTACACTATATGCTCCTCTCTACAGCGTCGGTAGATGAGACGACCGATGAAAGACGGTCAACTCTCAGATCCAAAGGATATCATTGGATACTGGAAAAACGTACACACCCACGAAACTGTTTACTGTGTGGTTACTGTTTCTTGCTTTACACATATAACAAAAACCGGTCTCTTCAAATGCTATTTCTTAAGTTCTCTTAAGACTGTCTAGCAAATGAAGCTTCATGTGATCCTCATACAAGAAACGAGAAGTAGGTAGACTGAGAAACAAAATTCAGATGATGGGACTCTTCTTGTTCGTGAAGCAAAGTTTTCGCTACGAAGTGTAGGTTTCATTGTCGTTGTCTCAAACCATGTGTCTCCCATCTGTTCTTTACGTAAGAATCCTATCACCATGCATGACCATTATTCGTCTTCAGCTTCCGCCTCATCAGGAGGTCGATACCATCGGCACTAGCCACCAACTTGTAGATATGGTGAGAGCGAAGAAGTTGCGCTTCACAACAATTTGGAGGAGCTCGCAAACAGAAATTGATGCCTAATTGACACCTAAAAGGTAAAAAATTTGGTACGGGATTTTATACCGCCTTCTGCTTGCGAAAGTTAGATTCAGCCTCAAGATGGGAAAGAACCACTATCATTGTCCAAGAAAAACAAAACAAGTCGTCTACGACGAAGTTCTCGGTCAGATCCCCTCCCATATGACTGGTACATTATAGAAAACCTAACAGAAGACTACAAGCTGCATGTCGTACGACATAATACTGATCTCATCTAGCAGAAATCTCACGAACAAAAAGTTCAAATTACATTTCCATCATGACTAGAGAGGTGTTCGAGGAGACATGGGGGTTAAAACTTGATCCTATTACACACCTAATCAAGCTGATAATAAATGCCAGTAAGGTTTCTACAGGAGGATTTACATCAGTATATGCAGCAAAAGTCAATGAAAACAGCTCGAAAACAATCTAATTTGGTAAAATGGCGTCAGAATCTTTTTGACTATTATATTACTTTGCCCGTCCACATGAACGAGGATGTGATCATATTCCAACTAGCCATGAAATAGACTTAATAACGATGCTCCTCTATACCAATCGGTTACGTCTTCAAGCCCGTCTCGCACTCCAAGATCCCCAGTAGAAAAAACTGCCCTAGACCATTTTCTGAAGTTCAAGATGCGATTCAGAGGCAAAGCTCCAATACTCAATGATATCGCCTCCGACATAAAGCTAGTGTGGTCGATATCACGTCTGAAAGTCTGTGCGCTATTCACAAGGCGTTTGAGCAAAATCCCTTCGAATTTAATTGTCATTCACAACGTTTATGCGGTTGGCGCAGCTCAGATTTTCGAAAACTATTCAGCCTGGTGATTTAGAAGTATGACACATTGCCAGCGAAACACGGATGGGTGGGTAACATAAAAAGAAGAATAAGTGACAAATGAGGAAGAGAATGGTGAAGTGAACTCTAAAAGAATGAATGTGTTTTCTTAAACGACTTTCAGACGATTGGCGACGTATTTGTGGCTAACGTCAGCCATCTATATGTGCATATGCAACAAGTTTTGCGGAATGGGTTTTGCCTAGGTCCTTGTGCTCGGAGCAGAGCATCACCAATGCAAATGAGAGAGGGAGAAGCAAATGGATATCATGCTAGTGCTCCTATCACCATTGAAAACTCGCTACAACTAAGCGAGTATTCCGCTTTTATTCTTGCCCCAATACAATCTTGTTATAAGTGATTTTAGATTGTGTATAGGCTCAAACAGTTTGCAGTAATCCATGTAGATTTTTCAATCTCTGTATTTCAAATGCATTCAGTAATTGTCTGATTTAACAGCTAAATGTTTATATAGAATAGCACTTGGAAGTCATAAAATAAGTCAACTTTTATAAGAATGTACACAATTCTGCCGATCAGTATATTCTGTTGCGTGAGGAGACTAAATGAAAGAAAAACGTAGAACAAGAAGATGGGGAGTTTTTGCTTCGATCATGAAAAAAACACCGTAACTGAGATTCTTAATAATCCAGATATAGAGGTAGGAGCATGGAGCTATGCACAAAAGCTTTGTCGGGCTTCAATCGATTGCGCCATTACAAAATAGATAGGAACATAATGTAGTTTTCATGAACACTTTGCTATCAAGATGCGCAGTTCAGGATACTACTCATAAAGATAGCTCAACTAATAGTGCCTTAGTTAGGCTAGTACAATGATTGGTCTCTCTCGACTATGGAGAGCGGTGGAACTGACATTGGTTTTCAAGGAAAGTTTGCTAATTATCTGCTTTTCCACTAAGCTGCTAAATTAACTTTAAACAACTGCTTCGGCTAATCGAGGAGCTGAATTATAAACACTCGCGCTGACCGAATCGATTAGATTTAACAAAGATTTTTCGTCTTCTTCTTGAACGTCGTAGACATCATTCAGAAACACAACATCTTTTTATATATTTACTCGACGCGTCATCACAATTTTTGTTGTGCTGATCCCAGGACTTCTAGCATTCAATTCGTTTTTTGTTTCCTTGATCGTCGTAGAATACTGGTTCAGCGACTCTCCTTGTAATTTTGATGGTAGCTTAGCCGCGACGTTAAGCAGGGTGTTCCTGTTGACTGGTGGAAAGTGTTTTGGGGTGGAGCGCGGCGACGAGCATCACAACCACTCGGCCACGGCCCCCACTCCGCTTCCTCTTTCTCAAAGAAAAACACATAAAGCAAAAACTTCGCAAATCTCCAGCAGTGGTAAAAAAAACCAGTACAAAAATTTGTTATTTCGTTCGTTAGAAAAAAAAAGGAAAAAGGCCAGCTCGGTTTTCCCTTATCGTAACATGACAACTCTGCAAAATTCTTATTCATTACAAAACGGAAACAAAAACTGAAACGGAAGAACCTGTAGGAATGAAGTGGATAGTTGAAGAAGTTACAAAGGAAGAAATTGCAGAATTAACGGCGCCGTGCACCATTGTCCGGCCACCACGATACCACCGAGAACCGGATCGGATGAATTTAACCGTGCCGGCCGTATTCCGCTTTCGGCTCCGATCCCGATATCATCACTTCAATTAATTTCATCATTGTTGACATGATTATAGCAATTATTCTGCTTGCATTCACTGCTGGCTTATTAGAAGGAAAAGGTAAGTTGAAGGGTATATTTTTGTTATTTGATCACACTTTGCTAACTTACGCAATCTTGAACAACAGTGAATATTAGGTGTATAGTTCTGATTCCGCCGCTTTCTTGCTGTAATAATAGTGAAAATAAAGATGTATAAATCCTTTCACTCGTTCGAAAATGCTTCAAAAACGACACACATTTATGTGTTTTTATAGAAACAATATTTTATATGTGACTCTATAGGACTTTGAAGATGACGACTTTTGTACCTGAAAAAGCCATTTTTTTGCTTTGCTTATTTGGCAACTTGAATCTGGTAATTTCAAAGGCTATTTCTGACGGTACACTGCTGTGAGAGTAAGACGGGCAAGGTGAAACCTCAAATCTATCATCTCAGCGCATTTATGACGTTTTCGATCGGTTTTGCAACATGAAGTCGAGCGTTATTATGCAGCAAAATTGCAAAGTTACAGCCGTTTTGGTGTTTTTTAAATGATTTTTGCAATAAAATTGCACGACCTCGGTACCTTTCAACTGAGCACTTTCTTGCGAAAATTTTAGTATAGAACTTCCTAGTGTTTGCTTCGCATGGAGCTCGCGTTCCAAGCACTATGTTGTGCGTCGCTTCACTAAGATTTTCCCCTACGCGCCATTCGTGCATGGTAGTAAGCAAATTTGTTCCCACGACAATTCCATCTTGAAGCAGGTAAAGGCACGTTGTATAGCACAATAATCGCAAGAAAATGCCAACATAAATAGCGCCTTTCGGGTGCAAAAATTGTCATCTTCAAAGACCTACAAGAAACATCGTATAAAATATATTGCATATAAAAAACATATAAACGAATAGCATCTTAAGGCACTTTCAAACCAAAAAATTCCCATATCTCTATCTTCACTGTTATTCCAGCATAATTATTATTTGAGCCAACATGTCATGTGGTCTGTTATCTGCTATGTGCTCTTGTAATTCAATTTTGAGCGTGGTCTTGATAAAGCACTTGAAACAAGCGGTATACACAATAATGTAGAGGCTGTGCAAAAACGCTTGCGTCAGCCGGGATTCAAACCCAGATCTCACTCTCACTGGGAGCGTATGCTAATCGTTGCAACAGCGACGTCAGATTTGGGTTCGAATCCCGGCTGACGCAAATGATTTTGCACAGCACTCTGCATTGTCGGATATATCATAAGATCATACCACCGCAAGAGGCGGTTTGAAAGAATTACAAGCGACATACTTTTCAGCAAAAATAAATAAATTACACGGCAGAGTCGTATTTGTAC